CACGGCACACAAGGGAAAAGTCTGCACTTGTCTGCAATGAACAATGTTGTAATGTTTGTTTAAATGAACACAACAAATAATTTGCTCTATGATCCATGCAGATATCTGCAAGGGCTCTGTGCAAGCAAATGTAACCTTTTATTTAAGCTCCAGGTCTTTTTTTTGCATATAAATGTGAGGTTGATGCCCAGAACTGAGGAACACAGGCGCTGATGATGACGGCATCATCATACGCTACAAAAACGATGTATTCTTTCATCTATCTGTTTTTGTTGGGTGAAAGCAAAGAGGAATGGCTTGTCCCAAACAGCTGGCCTTAAGGGCATAACTCACCTGAGTAACAAATGGCTCGTTGCATGCTGCTGGTCTCACGGGCCAATTGCAAGGGCACCTCGACTACACTGTTTTCCTGCCAGTAATAGCTAAACAGTTCTCTAAATACTTACATATAAACTGTTTTCCAGTTTTTCCAAAGTGTTCTGAAGTAGTCTAAAACTGAGAGGTAAAACAGTCACACACACACGCACAACAGTTTGATGATTATCTAAACGTGTCTGCCAAGCTTCCCAGCAGACACAATTCCACTCTTTCAACTTAACGCCGAGACAGTCTGCACGGCTTTGTCCAAACAACAGATTTGGGTTGTTTATGTGAGAGAGGAGGAACACCGTATGTGGGGAATGTTGATCCTACTGTTTTTCAAAGGATGATCCTGCACTTGATCTGGAGGACTGTTTAATTTGTCATGGTGTCACTTCCACAGGCCGGCGGCCTGATGCTGAAGGGACGGGAGAGACGGGGTGCGTAGCACAGAACCACACGTAAAATAAAAACGTCAAGAATTCAAACAACCGGTCTGCTGCTTTATGAGCACAACTGACAACAAGGTTCTGTGATTTAGGAACTACAATACATTTATTTGAAGGGTTGCATCAAAGATGAGGTCTGAACACAATATACAAAATGAATTGAAACCTTTTCAAGTGTCAGGTGGTTTTGGCTCGACATCACTAACATTGACTAACCAGCCATGCAGAGGAGCAGAGGGGGATTAACATTTCCAAAATTTGTACAATTTATCTTTATCTGACAGAATCAATATGCAGAGAACTTGTATGAAACATAAAGATAACTTGTGCATTTCAACACTGTTTCCACTGCGTTGTTGTAGGTCAGGAGTCAAAATACAGTTTCTCTTCTGGAATATTGGCACTGGACTGATGACATTTTTTCACTGTGGCAGCAGTGCACATGGAAAAAAAACCTCTCCGATGTGTAGCGGCTTCTACTGGGGCTCGTCTACGATGGAAAAACTCCACTGTGCACTTGTGTGTCAACCTCACTCATAATAACTACATCTTACTTTTCTTTGGTTCACGATGTGTGTCTGCAACGAGTGCGGACAAGCTGTTGAGTGTCAAGTGTCTTCCGTTCCTATAATGCATTCAGTGTTAATAACTAAACCAGCGCAGGCGGCAAAGACGCGTCATTTAAGATGCCGAGGCATTCAAGTGTCTTTTCTCCTGACGTTTGGTCCATCGGAGTTTTTCCCTGCGTCCACGCCTGTGACTGCAGCGCTCCCTCTGTGCCGGGGCATTGAGTTTTTGGGGTGATCCTGGCTGGTTTTGTTTACACGTTGACTAATGCACCCCTCCTTTGACTTCTTTCAGGGAGGGGGACAAGCTTTTCATGGGACTAATTGGAGTGTGCAAGCCGTCACCGCTGAAGTGCTCCCGCAGGGCCTCTCTTTCTTTTTCTCTTTTCTTGCCTTCTCCCCTCCTCCAACACTCAGCCTTTTATTATCATTTCCCATATCGGGTAAACAACCTGTTAGTGTAAATTAGGGTCCAGTGAGTGATGAAGCGACACTTCAGACCCCTCCTGCTTCTTTTGCTTTTGCCCCCCCCCCCCCCCTCTCCCTCGCCATCACACTCTTTCCGTCCCTTTGAGCTCTTTCCTCTTTTGTGCCCCCACCCTCTGTTCTGCCATGTATGGCACGCAGCCACTGGTTATGATGGTGAGTGTGTGAGTGTGTGTGTGTGTGTGTGTGTGTGGATGCAGGGGGTCTGAAATGAAGATTGAAGCGGACAAAAAAGCCCTGGCGCAACCTTGAGGTAGAAATTAATAATGATAAAAATAATTACTGCCCCACTCCCCTCACCCACGCCGCCCCGACCTAGTTTCCATAATGGAGAACGATAGCCCCCAGTCGCACCCTTATGTGTGTGTTTTAAGTGTGTGTTAGTGTGTCTGTGTGTAGAGTGTGCACATAAGGCCATGGTGTTGTAGGGATGGATGTAGGACAGGACCTACATGAGGAAAAGCCAGAGGCCTTCAGGCACCGGGACTTGCGACGCTGTTACTACGGACAGCTACAGGTGAAACGCCGTCTTTCTGTCCCTCTCCGCGTCGTGCATGAAATGCACTGGTGCTGGCGTTCACTTGGCGCGTACTCGCCTTGTCAAGGGTCCTCATTTTGGGTGTGAACGCCGTGCATGTATTCAGCGGTGGCGTGGGGAACAGACGGCCAACACTGTGATGCCACCTAATCTCTGCGGAAGGTCACACACACACACACACACGCACACACACATACATTTTGTAATGATGAACTATAACAATGTCTTTTAACTATAGTTCGGAGGTTTTGTGTGAAACATTCTAATATTTTTATGCCATCTTACACCGTCTAAAGAGACTACGACTAAAGGCAATTGCATTGCAATGCAATGTTGGCGAATAAAAGTTTAGAGGCTTAAACTACAATATGGAAACATTTACAGAGTAGAATGCTATCAAAGCTGCGCATACTGTGAGGACTTAAGCTCTTTGAGAAGTCTCACCGGTGATTTAATGCAGTTAGATTAATTAAAAGTGCTTAATTAAGGCATTGAGGAGATGAAGCGTCGCTGTGGACCGCTTGAGAAGAACAACAGAGGAGGGATGCGATAACCTCTGACCTCACTCTCCAGTCTCAGAATAGTCCACTGAGGTGACCTCATGCAGCAACTGGGCAGAACGCAAAAAAAGTTACTGCCTCTGCTGGATATCTTCTTTTTTTTTTACTGTACTTCCTTCCTTAGTTCTTTTCTCACATAGTTTTATTATGCTGATTTAAGACCAACATTGCAACACACCTGGTCGGTGTGAAGCCTCCGTCACGCTTTCACATCACTTCCTTCAGCTCTCTGACGTTGTGTTGTCCCATGGGCAACAGACGCGGGGGGCGGCGGGTCACAGAGTTACCGTGGACACTATTTGATGAAAGTAATTGCTCTCTCTATCTAGCAACTGTGATGACTCATTTCTGTACGTTTTGAATGTTTTGAAGGGGAATTATTGATGAGAAAGTGAAAAACTAAAACTGAGCAGAAAAAAAGAGACGGTTAAACTCAAATGTTCTTCAAAATCACACTGTATGTAACTGCATTTGAGGAATGTTTAAGCGCCGTAGGTTGTCTGACCTTCATGGATTTATAAATTAGTATAAATCCGACTGACCACCGTAAAACTAGCCCACAAAGTGAGGCTGTGAACGTATTAAAAGTTGCATAACATGTGCTTTTTTTGTCCCGCCCTCTTGGACGTGTGGACTGCTTTGTGGATTCACAGAGCCGGTCTCGGCTCAACAGCTGGCCTGGCAGGTGAATGACTGCTCTTGTATAAATCATCTTAAATACTAAATAAAGGGAAGGGATTAGGTGTGGTACATATGCCTTTCTCTCCTGCGACTATTTTCATGTTCAGCCATGTGTGTGTGTGAGTGAGATTCAGGGTTTAAACTGTGAGAGCATCTGGCCATGCCGGCCTGGCTGTGTGCTCCTGCTGTGGGTCAGTCAGGCTGTTTGGACGTGAAGTGGCTGTGAGTGTGTGTGTGCAGCTTGCTGGCTTGGGACTGTTTATGTCTGTAATAGGCACTTAACCACACAAACCCAGCAGGCAGCTAAAGAGAAACGCCAGAGGAGATTCTCGGTGGTGTTAACAGCAAGTTCTTTAAGTTCCCCCCCCTCTACCGTGATAATTTATTTAAGGTGGTTTTCTCCGCCGAACCACATTATATAGCAGGCCTTGTCTGCTGAGAGAATATTCGATGGTAAGTGTATCACACCAGAGCAAGAAATGGATGAAAGGGAGACAGGAAGGGAATGCACGGCTGAAAAGTGCAAAGGGTGCAGATCCACGGTGTTTGTATTTATTCCTGGATAGTATAGAGCGGGAGGAGGGCGCGTGCAGGGTGTTAGACGGATATACTTATCCATCAATTGTTGAGCCGGAGCAGAGGCTGGTCGGAGGGGCGTTATGGCGGGTGTCTGCACTGTGGTGCCGGGTTGATCTAAAGCAGAAGAGGCAGCGCAAGCTGCCGTGACAGGGAGGAAAAAGTTGGAGAATACTGTGGAAAAGAAGATACTGATGGAAAACCCGTGACAAAAAAAAAAAGAAAAGAAACAGCACAGAGGAAGAAAAACACATCTGACTGCTGCCGAGGACAAGAGGAGAGACGGCGAGGTACGGGGTTGGAAAAAGAGGGAGATTGGGTGAGGGGTGGGGGACTAAGTGGGAGAGCCGCGGAGAGACACAGGGAAGAAGAGGGAGGTGTGATAGTGGGTGGGAGAGGAGGACAGCCTGGTGGATGGGCAAAAAGACAAAGGAAAGAGAGGAGAGCCAGCTCAGGTTTGAAGAAACCAACAGATGCATGGAGCCAAGGTCTCGGGAGGAGGATACAGGAGTGAGATGTGGAGTAACACAGTGGTTTAGTGAGAGGTAAAGGAGAAGGAGAAAAGCGAGTGGGAGGGAAAGATTAAGGGAAAGGCAGAGTGATAAACTGGGCGGGCGTTTTACAAGAGAAGAGCTGGATGAGAGGAGAGAGGAGGGAGGCCGTCTCGTAGAGCTCACACAGCACGCGTGGAGCTGGTGTCAGAGCGTGAGGGAGGGAGGGTGGGAGGAGAGAGGGAAAGCAGAGGGAGGGGGCGTGGTATTTAAACGCCGGAGCAGGACAGCACAGGCGAAGCTCTGAACTCCCCGAGAGTGAAGGTAGGACAGGGAGAGGAAGCAGGAGAACAGAGCTGCACAGTCCCTCCTGACGGCCAAGCCCACACACAAACGCACACAGACACACACTTACTCTGACGCAGGTACTTTTGGACTTTCAACCCGTTTTGTGGACTCCAAAAGCTGTCCTCTGGAACTCTACCTGTGCTTGCCTTCGCTCCCACGCACTCTCCCTCCTCAACTCTCCACCCCAACGTCACTCCCCCAGTCCCCCGCTCGGTGAGGGCAGATGGCCGCGGCGTGGGCCTCTCTCGGGGGGGCCTTAGGCTGTGCCCTGCTGGCCCTGGTCTTGGGGAGCAGCATGGATTTCGGGGCACCCCCTGCGAGCTTCTACCCCCGTTTCAACCCCTTCTTCTTCCTGTGCACCCACCATGGGGAGCTGGATGGAATCGGGGTGGCAGAAGGCGGGGGAGAGGTACTACTCACCCTGCAGATTACGGGCAACCCCATCGCCTACACCCCCGGACAGGAGTACCAAGGTGAGCACACCCCCTTCGGCGTCCACTTTGTTTTTTTTGTTTTTTATTTTGAAGAGAATAGGATCTATTCTTTTAGAGATTTGAGTCACACAGAAGAAGTATATTAAATCGATCTGAATGTAAATTTACTTGGTTGAGAAAATGCAATAGTTTCCCTCTTTACTTCATTTACTTTGAAATTCAGAATACTTTCTTTGACGTTGCTGAAATTAGCCAAAATTTTTATAATGCCTATGCAATACTTCAAATGAAAGATATAAATCAACAATTCTACTCACGCGAGTACAGTGAGCCCGTTCCACTTGCAGGTGTTTTGCAACGCACACGAGGTACCGCCGCGTGGGGTGGCTGTTGTTGGAAACCAGCATTTATGTAACTGTAATGAGTAGTGATGCTGAGCGGCTCTGGTGTTTTACTGAGGTGCGATCCCTATATGTAGGTGGCCTCTCCAAAGGAGAACAGCAAAATCCCTCCAGCTGAATGAGAGACAGAGGGGGGTGATGAGTGCGAATGGACAAACGGAGCAACCTAGAAAGCTCTGAAATCAGAACTCAGACGTCAGAGTTTAATGTGCCCTTTCCCCGCATTGGCACCTGGTCCTGGAAAAATGACCCCCCCCCCCCTCCCCTTGACTTCCCAAACTGCATCATCACCGCTCACTCGCTCTCGTCACCTACTTAACACTGAGGACAGTGACCCGCACAGGCCACCACGGACCGAGTGAGGTCACATTCCCATGCAGCTCTCTCCTTCGAGTTTTATATTACTGATTTCATCTAACTTCCTCTAAATATACACACGTTGTGTGTACATTGCCCGTATATTTTCCTAACCCTCTTTGTTGTATTTAATCTAATTTGATATGGCAGTGGATAGAATGGAACACAATGCACTCCATCCAGTATCATGGCAAATAAACCTCTTGATTTCAAAAACGATTCATGCAGCAGAGTTTCTTTAGTTGTTTATGAAACGAAAAGGATATGAGAAGGAAAACAGAGGTGGAAAGGAGAGAAGTCTGGAAGAAGCGGCATTATCCTCCATCTGAAAATAACAGCCCGGATCAACCCTTCAGTCAAGCACCTTTTAACTGGGGCCGGGCTTGTACCGAGAGTGGGTGGGGAGAGATTTGAATAACTAGCTGGTGGTTGGGAGGGATAGAGCGCACGGAGAGGTTTTAATAATTAGCATTAGAAATGTGGTGGACTGGGTGGAGGGACAGATTTAAATAGGGCCACGGCTGGGATCGGATGGAGTTGGGGGAGATTTAAATGACGATGAGAGGATTGAGTTGATAAGATGCAAGCGGCGGGGCTTGAAAAAAATGACATGGTTCCAAGCTGCTCACTTTCCTTTCTCCGTCCCATGTTTTGGCACATGATGGCACCTCATTGTTAAATTTGCAGGGTTTTCAATGAGTTTGTATGGAGATTGAAGGATCAATGCCAAGTGAGCAAGTGAAACATGGTTGGCTGCGAGTTAAATTGCCCAATAAGGAGCAATCCTAGTCCCCGTCTCTCTTTCTCATCTTCTCAAACCTTCACCATTATATTCATCTTTTCATGTGCTTACCACATTCACTGCCAGAATTGGGCGTTTTTTTCAGGGCTTGATATATATATATATATTAGTTAGGTGGACATGTACTGTATCTGCTTGCCCTGCAGAATTAGGAATAAAAGATACAAAGAAACCGTAAATCACATATTCTGGCGGTGTGAAGGAAAAGGCAAGAGAAGTGTTTGTGCCATTTTCTGTCAGTGCTCCTTCTATTTGGTTTGAGCTCAACTGCCCCCCCCCCCTCTCTATTGCTTTCTATGTGCTCTCTGGGCTTTAGTTTTGGATTACATTCGGTTTAATCTTCTAAAAGCAATGTGTGATCTAACCACTGAAAGAGCTGCATGTGGAAATGGTGGGCGGAAGGCATCAGAGATGCCGGCCATGTGGTTGTTGTCGGGCCGTAGAAAAGAAAACTAACGAAACAGCGCAAAGGAGAGAGGTTGTTATTGAAGGAAGGGAAAGTCAGAAAAAGAAAAGAGATGAATGACCCCTTCTTAAAGAGACAGGAGGCGAGTGTCTCCGAGTCCCATCTCAGCATTCAGTGCCGAGCCAGAGCAAGACTCCGTGAGGCAGAATTGTTGTACCGTAATTGGGTTTCTGACCTGACCTCACTGCTTCCCGCTTCTCTGTTGCTTTTGGGTGATAAGACCAAGTGTGGGCAGCTTACTCTCCGTGCATGTCTGTGTGTGTGTGTGTGTGTGTGTGTGTGTCTGTGTGTGTGCGTGTTATAGACGAGATTACTGTGTTTAGCCATCAGAAAGAAATGCCCAAGAGAGGTTGCGACACTCTCGGTGTAAAATGTTGGGTGTATTGGCAGGGTCACAGTGGACAAAATGGAAACCGAAATACTGTAGACACTCTCTGAATCGATGGGAAACAGAATGAGGGGAAATGAAAAGATTTGTGTGCTTCCATTCAGGCTCTAGGGTCAATCCTTGTACCAGACAAATGCAGACCAAGTGTCAGCCACTCACACGCTCACATACTGCCCACAACTAGCCTCAGCTTTCAGAGGACAGGAAAAATGAACTAAGGTCACACTGGGATTAGAGCCTGTACTCTGAATAACCAAACAACCCCTTTGAACCACTTTTGAAAGAAGAAGTTCTTTATTTCATGAATTCTGTCTTTGACCTCTGGTAACTGCGGTGGGAATGCGAGATGTTCTCCGTACAGCAACCGCGTGTTTATAGGAAGCAACATCCGAACACAAACCCCTCTGAGCTCCGATTCTAAACACAGTCAATCAGAGAGGGCTGTTTTTCCTTCTTGTTGTTCCTGGTCCCTCTTCTTTGGAAACACTACTCGTTCATTTCTACGGATGAGCGGCGGTGTTCAAGAAGGGAGGGCGACACGGCGGTGTGAAAACAGGAAGACGTCAAATTCTACTATCAGAAAATATGGCCTTTCTGGTAAAGCACATTTGATGCAAATGATGGGCAGAGGAGGGCACCAATCTGCTGTGTTCTGCAGCAGGATTAGAAAGTACAGCAGAGAAGCTTGGTGGTGGAATTGAACGGCGGCGCGCTGCCCTCTGCCAGTCCGTTGAGAATAGCCGAACAAATGGAGGGACACGAGCACAAAATGGGCCACTGAGGTTGATCGAGTGCCCTTGTGTGTCGAGGAACTTCACATTTAATCCAAGTTTGAAGTAATGCTTGTGCACTTGTGATTAAAGCCGCCGCTGAGTTTATTGTGACAGTGATTTAAAGTATACCGCGTGTTTATTTATATGGAAACCAGTGTTATGTCTGGCGTCTGTCGCGTTTGAAAAGCTCAAGCGAGTGCTCGCATTGGGCGTACGCACATTAAAGTAAAAAGTCTTTTGTGGGTGTGTCCAATACCACAGCGCCGCAATAGAAAAAAACGCAGAGTGCACGGTGGTTCGAAGGGAAAGGGATAGGCGGTACAACAAGAGAGCTGTTTAGAAACCTGGCTGACCGTACAGGCTGAAACGGACAATACTAATCTGTCAATGGTCTCTACAGCCGCCCCGGCTCCACGGACCTTTTCATGTGCAAATGATTGAAGAGCCCCGAGAAACAATCAACATTTCAAGGGGATTTGGACGATGTGACTAAATGGCATTCTTAATGGGAACTTGGAGATAAATTCATCCCCACAAAATGCCATCAGCTCTCACCAGGATAACCTATCAGATTAGACATTGTGAATTACTTCAGCTCCTCTCCCGCCCCCCACCAGCAACAACTCAATGTGGCTTGCGATAGGGAACGGGGCCATTATCTATCTGCAAAGTTGATTGCTTGTCGTGGTTGGGGGGAGTTTTTTCCCTGTGAGTGTGCCGTTGGTTGACCGATATCTGTAGAACAACAAGTCAGAGAGAAGGTCACAGACAAGAGGCCCCGGTAAGGCTGGAGAAAAGCAGGTGCTATCTGGCTATGTACAGGGTTATGTCACTAAAGCCACAGCACCACGGGACCATTGAAACACAGGGACCATCTTCGAGTCTTTGCAAACTTACAGTCGTCCTCGGGTATGCATTAGATACCGCCGCGGCATCAATCGGCTGTGACGTTCAAGCGCCCCGCCGGACGTCATCGTCGCCTTATGCAGCACTTAACCTCCGAGGGGACCGCTGCGGGTCTGCTTTCTGACCTCTGACCGCTTCTTGTCAGTGCCGCGTTGCTCGGAGCTCTGCTCCTGACGGGTGATTAGATTTGCCGGGTGTCCCTAATTTTCCTGTCCCGCCAATCTATTGCTGCTCGCGTTTCTGCACAGCGCCACTGTAGCATTTCATATGCGCAGCAAGCATTGGTGCAGCAAGCATTGGTCAGTGAACCATCAAAAGACTGGCCTAGTTTATTCAGTTTAGGGGAACAGGGACACTGAAAAAAGAGGTAAGAGTGAATGAGGAGTACAGGGATAGAAGCTAATGGTTTAATATGTATCTCTTGTGACCAAAGGAAAAGCAACATGCAGATAGCACTCGCGTTCTCAAGTGGTCCAAACCTGCGCATTCATTGGCTTCTCGGCTCTTCAGCCTCTCTGCCTCCTGCTGCTGTGTCTGAATAGGTCACTTCACTGAGTAGAGGGAAGTGTGTCAAGTGTATTGCTGTTTATATGGGCTTGCTGGCTGTGTTTGGGTGTTCCGTCTTTGTGGACATTGAATGATGAACCATTTAAAGAGCATTGTATCCATCGAGATATGCCAGTTTCCTTCATAAGAAGGAGCAGATGGGCGAGAAATGATAATGGATATTCATTGGGAATCTTCTCTTTGTCACAAATGCATGCTTGGCCATGCACACTGCACTCAGCTCTTAGTGGGTGATCCATCATGACATAGAGACATGTCAGATGCTGCGCTCGCTAAGCGCAAATGCCATCATCAGCGAGCTATTACAATTCTTTGTGTTGATGTTACAACAGAATGTAAACTGATATCAGGACTTTTTTCCCCCTTCAGGGGCTAAATC